GAAGCAATGAGAAAAAAACTTGAAGCAACGAGAAAATAATCGAAGTTACGAGAAAATAATTCGTCTGGATGAAAGGAATTCTGAGACATTTCAAGGTCACAGACTCACTTGAATGGGAACATGTGGCAGGGAAACGAAATGAAATATTAATATATTTATAAATCTCACAAAATGTCAAAATTTAAAGCCTTGCCGAAAATCCTCCAGCAGCCAAAAGCAGACTTTAATACGATCCTCAACCCCAAATAGTGCCAAGAAGAAAACACTGAATGATATATTAATCTAATCGATGCGGGAACCTTGTCGCTGTCCCGTTATTAGAACTGGTTTTTAGAAACATTAGCTTGTAGTTCGAGGCTACTAACAGGAGCTCGTGGTCAGATGTCAATCACTGGATTGTGTGGTCGAAACTCGAAGATTTACAGACCGCTGGCATATAGCTTAAGTGTTGCTGAGTGCTGCATGCGTAAAACAACAAACACGCATAATGATGTAAATAGACTTTTAATGGGTAAAGTTTTGTAGATAGGACGACATTATTGTCTTAAATTAAATATCGTTTTTCAATCTAAATTAACTGAAATTCTCTTTGATCCAGTTTGTTTAAACGCCTCGATGCAATACCGAACATCTGCCACGGCCATTACAAAGCAGCAGATGGAACACGAACTGCACGCGTGTCATATATTGGAATTTACATCATTATCATCACAAAGCAACGCACGCGCACGAGCTGCACGAGTACCCACGAGTGTAGTCAACCATTCACGTGCAGAGCTGTCACTTAATGTTTCCTGTCAGTGAACAATAGAACATATGATATTAAACCCAAATTGTCGTCATCAATAGTGCCAACATCAGAAGACGTATTTTCACAACACGTTGTGGAAACGGAAGCTTTTTGGAGATGTTTTAATATATTATTTTAATTACAGAAATATATGACTATCTTGTCAATTTCGTCTGTGCACCTGCACATATTGGACGCACGTGTAATTGTGTTTCCCTGCGTGTATTGTTCGGTGTTCACAATATTCACGCGCATATCTACACGAGTGAATTCAATATTCGTGGTTGATTTTCCAGCTGATACGCACGTGTCACCACCGGAAACCCTATACTTTCAAGTACAGCATATCTCATAAACTGAAATGTTACGAATATTCAAATAGTAATGTCTCGATGTTTCGTCTGAAACTATAAAATAAATAAAAGAATTATTCACAAAGAGTTTCGTGACGAATTATGTGCTGTGAATAAAATCTTGTGCGGAATAAAAGCATTTCCATTTTAGATTGGACCAGTAAACTAATGTTCTGTGGGAACAAACGACATCAGACTAAACAGAAATTCAGTCATTTGTCTTCAAGTCCAGTTCCTTATATAAGGAGGTTCTTGGCGCGCAAACCCGTGAAGATCAGGGTTAGAATATTGATCTTCAGTAACCCATGCTTGTCGTAAAAGGCGACTAACGGGATCGGGTGGTCAGGCTCGCTGACTTGGTTGACACATGTCATCGGTTCCAAATTGAGTAGATCGATGCTCATGCTGTTTGATCACTGGATTGTCTCGTCCAGACTCGATTATGTACAGACCGCCGCCATATAGCTGGAATATTGCTGAGTGCGGCGTAAAAGTAGACTCACTCACTCACTCTTGGCGCGCAAGTAGATCGATGCTCATGTTGATGATCACTGGATTGTCTGGTCCAGACTCGATTATTTACAGACCGCCGCCATATAGCTGGAATATACCCGAGTGCGGCGTAAAACTAAACTCACTCACTCATCTTGGCACGCAAGGCGAAACGTTGTGTACGTACATGCCGTTGTGGTGTAGTTAGAGAAACATGTGGTTCCACTGTCGTGGTGTTGTCTTCCGTGCTGTACCAACATGCCGTCTTCGTATAATGGCAGACCCTCGCAGCGTAGCTGCAAGTCGCCATGGTGTAGTTACAGACCGTTGTTGTGTAGACACATGCCGTTTTGTTTAAGTTTCCTGCCGTCACGGTGTAGCTGCTGACCTTCGTGGTGTGCTAACATGCCGCCTTGGCATAGTTACAGGCCGCCGAGGTTATTGACATCAATTGTGGTTTAGCTGCAGACCGTCGGGATGTAGTTACAGTCCACCACGGTGTGACTGACTTATCTCGTGTTAAAGGGAACAGAAACATAATAATAATATTATTAATAATAATGCTAACTTCTACGCCTAGAATCCAACACGATGCTGCTCTCTGGCGTTACATTATTACCCTGACGGTATTGTACTTTCAAAGCAGCTATAGGTCCGTACATCCGCTTCTCAGGTACCCATTTTAAACAGCTGGGTGGACTGAGTGCAATGTGGACGAAGTGCCCTGCCCAGGTACACAACACATTGTGAGATTCAGGTCACAAATGTTGGTGTCCCCACCGGGATTCGAACCCGGGCCTGTGGCGTGAGAGGCCAGCATGCTAACCACTACACCACTGTGCTGAACATATCAGTAACGATACACATCAGTGCTCTTTCATTATTCACACATCCCACCACAGACAGACTAAATTATTAACAAAGCTTCAGAAGCAGATGAGGGCAAAATATCCTCTTAAACAAACACCTCCCATGTTTGATAAACCAAGGCGCCATGTCCGAGTCCCTTCACTGGTACACCTTCTGAAGGCCATATCCCATGACTACGGTCATGTCATAACATCACTTCGTTTCCAGTGTTGAACTAATTCACGCACTCACCTAATTCTGTTACGACTGTCCTAAAATGAAGGCCTCCACTCTATGAAGCGGAGCTGAACGGACAGGTGTCCTGGATTTTAACAAGCGGACATTCCTCATCTGTCACGCGGTTTTTTATGATGTAAAGAATTTTTTGTTTTTAGTCGTCTCACGTTCATGTTCTGTCGCAATCACCGTCTTGAGTAAACGGGAGTTTTCAGTTTCAGACTTACCTTAAAGCTATGAAGCGTAAAAGTGCCTCAGTCAAACACCAAAACGGAACATAAAATATTAATATCTAATATGATAATAGCATGGGCAGGATGCTTACATCTACGTAGCTGATGATTAAATGTACGAATATATGTTATTTATATCGGCTTAGAAAATACTGTATGGGTAGAAGATACATCTACGTAGACGATACTTCATTAACGCAAAAGATACTTACTTACATCTTCGTAGACGATACTTTCGACAACGTAGAAGATACATTCATCTACGTAGACGATACTTTAATCAACGCAAAAGACAATGTTATCTGCGTAAAAGATACCTAAATCTACGTAGACGATACATTAATCAACGCAAAAGACCATGTTATCTGCGTCAAGGATACCTAAAGCTACGTAGACGATACTTTCGACAACGTAAAAGATACATTCATCTACGTAAACTATACTTTAATCAACGCAAAAGACAATGTTATCTGCGTAAAAGATAATATACCTAAATCTACGTAGACGATACTTTAATCAACGTAGATGAAACGTAACTCCACTAACATGCGTAGAAGATACTTGCACCTACGGAGACGATGTTTTCTTAAACTTTTAAGACCATACTTTTTTCTACGTAGAAGATACTTACCTCTACTAACATGCAACTTTCACCAACGTAAAAGGTGCTTACAGTCAACTATATTTTTACTTTTGTCTGAGTCTGTGATATTCAGATCACGCGTATCGTCGTTACGCGACCCTGGTTTGATGTAGTTCATACGAACGTTAGATTGTAAAAAAATGTATTAGCTTGTTTGGTTTCATCTGGCGTTCTCCGTGTTTCAGCAACTTCCTGAAATTATTTCAGATTGCCAAACTATATGTGATAAAATAGAGAAACTCAAATACATTTACTCATCAAAACTTCGACACATTTAAATGAAGGGTTACATTTTTTAACCTGATAAATAGATATAAAAGATGAAAAGTCAAATATATCGGTCATTATGAGTTTACGTGAACCTGGCACGGAACTACTGTCGATTACCGGAAAACTACTTTCCATAATTGGACAGTAGAGTATGTTTACTTTTACGTAGACTTTGCTGTCATATACGAAGTATTATCTACATAGATTTGAGTTGTACCATCAACGTAGATGCAAGTGCCATCCACGTATACAAAGGATACCATCCACGTATACAAAGGATACCATCCACGTATACAAAGGATACCATTTAGACTACAATAGAAGCAAAATGATGAGTGTTATTGCTTGTCTTTAGTCGGTATTTTTTATGTTTCTGTTTTCTATTCACTTAATAATTAAAATAAACTGTAACTCGTAACTAAAGTCAGGGTCGTTTACAAGGTGGTTTAAATTTGGGGTCAACCATACTTATAATTTATGTGTAGCTACGATCCTGTGAGATCCCGTGGTGTTGATGCGACAGGTCCTTAATCCCCTGCCATGAGGCGATAGGCGGAATATATTCAAAATGAGGGATTTACCCTTTTTTTGTGTTCGTTTTTTGTTTAACACTACAATTGTCGGTTTCTGTGTCTGAGCGTGGTCTGTATGTTGTTGTACGCCGTTTTCCAGCCATATGACGGTGGTCTGTAAATCATCCACCCTTGAAGGTCCAGGTAAGAATTGGTCTTCAGCAACCCATATCAAATAGACAGGCTCACTGACTTGGTTGACACATGCCATCGTATCCCACTTGCGTTAAACAACAAACCAACCAATCAGTAAATCATCGAGTCTTGATGGATCCAGAATAATGAATACGGTGATATGCAATGAACAGTAACCGATCCTAATCTCAAGACCCATCTTGGGGGGCGGTGGGGTAGCCGAAGACCCGGGTTCGATTCCCCACATGGGTACAATGAGTCAAGCCCATTTCTGGTGTACCCCGTCGTGATGTTGCTGAAATATTGCTAAAAGCGGCGTAAAACCATACTTTCTCGCTCACCCACTCATATAGTCACCTAGGATCTGCTGGGTGTGGTTCAAAACCTTGCACTCGCTAAGATTATAACCTTTTTTTTATTTTCCAGGGAAACCAGTGGCGTCCATTTGTCACGGTGCCTGGATGTTCTGCTCGGCCAAGATCCTGAAAGGGAAACGAGCGACCTGCTTCCATGCCATCAAAGACGACGTGGAGAATGCTGGGTAAGACGTGTATGGATGTTGTTCAACGCCGCACTCAGAAATATTCAACTGTGTGTCACCGGTCATAATATATAATCCAGTGATCAACAGCATGAGCATTGATCTAAGCAACTGGGATACGATAACATGTGTCAACCAAGTCAGCCAGCCTGACCACCCGATCCCGTTTAGTCGCCTTTTAAGACAAGTATCGGTTGCTGAAGACCAATTCTAACCCGGATCTTCACGTATTGGGTAAGACGTGTGAATAATTGTACAATGTTGCCAAACCAAGGTTTGAAAGTCAAGTGTCTCCCTCCCCCGTCAGCAAAACACGGTGTGTACTCCCTGCCAAACCCCCGGCCCCACCTTGCAAACAAAAAATTCTAATTTTGTTTTTGTTCCCCTATACCATCGTAAACAAACTTGTGCTCCTCTCTTACAATAATATTCGGAGTTTGTTTTGTAAGTATAGTTTTTACCAAATTCCCATTTGAGTTATAGTCGACTTGTGATCATTCTCTTGCACACAAGACCCATTTTGTGCTCCTCTTCAAAACTATATTCGCCTTGTGCGTATTTCCTTATGCACAAGACTCGTTTTGTGCTCCTCTTTAAACACGACTCGTTTTGTGCTCCTCTTTAAAACTATACTCGTCTTGTGCACCCTTCCTTGTAAACAAGACTGGTTTTGTGCTCCTCTTTAAAACTATACTCGTCTTGTGCACATTTACTTGTAAACAATGCTCGTTTTGTGCCCTATCCCTTTTGAAAGCAATACTAATTTTGTGCTCTTTTATGCCCATTCTGGGAATTGTTCGTGTTGTGCTTCTCAATCGTAGAAAGTAATATATTGTTCTTGTTTACGTCACGTAAACAAACACCCACAATATTGTTTACCATGGGAGCACAAAATGAACATTGTCCTAGAGGAGCACAAAACAAGTATAGCTTAAGAGGAGAAGTCCACAATACAAGTATAGTTTAAACGATAAGGAGCAAAATAAGAGTCTTCTTTACAAGAGAAGGTGTACAAGACGAGTATAGTTTACAAGGGAAGGTGCACAAGACGAGTATAGTTTACAAGGGAAGGCGCACCAAACGGGTCGTGTTTACAAGAGAAGGTGCACAAGACGAGTATAGTTTACAAGGGAAGGCGCACCAAACGGGTCGTGTTTACAAGAGTAAGTGCACAAGACGAGTATAGTTTACAAGGGAAGGAGCTCCAAACGGGTCGTGTTTACAAGAGAAGGTGCACAAGACGAGTATAGTTTACAAGGGAAGAAGCATCAAACGGGTCGTGTTTACAAGAGAAAGTGCACAAGACGAGTATAGTTTACAAGGGAAGGAGCACCAAACGGGTCGTGTTTACAAGAGAAGGTGCACAAGACGAGTATATAGTTTACAAGGGAAGGAGCACCAAACGGGTCGTGTTTACAAGAGAAAGTGCACAAGACGAGTATAGTTTACAAGGGAAGGAGCACCAAACGGGTCGTGTTTACAAGAGAAGGTGCACAAGACGAGTATAGTTTACAAGGGAAGGCGCACCAAACGGGTCGTGTTTACAAGAGAAAGTGCACAAGACGAGTATAGTTTACAAGGGAAGGAGCTCCAAACGGGTCGTGTTTACAAGAGAAAGTGCACAAGACGAGTATAGTTTACAAGGGAAGGCGCACCAAACGGGTCGTGTTTACAAGAGAAGGTGCACAAGACGAGTATAGTTTACAAGGGAAGGAGCACCAAACGGGTCGTGTTTACAAGAGAAAGTGCACAAGACGAGTATAGTTTACATGGGAAGGCGCACCAAACGGGTCGTGTTTACAAGAGAAGGTGCACAAGACGAGTATAGTTTACAAGGGAAGGAGCACCAAACGGGTCGTGTTTACAAGAGAAAGTGCACAAGACGAGTATAGTTTACAAGGGAAGGAGCACCAAACGGGTCGTGTTTACAAGAGAAAGTGCACAAGACGAGTATAGTTTACAAGGGAAGGAGCACCAAACGGGTCGTGTTTACAAGAGAAGGTGCACAAGACGAGTATAGTTTACAAGGAAGGCGCACCAAACGGGTCGTGTTTACAAGAGAAAAGTGCACAAGACGAGTATAGTTTACAAGGGAAGGCGCACCAAACGGGTCGTGTTTACAAGAGAAGGTGCACAAGACGAGTATAGTTTACAAGTGAAGGAGCACCAAACGGGTCGTGTTTACAAGAGAAAGTGCACAAGACGAGTATAGTTTACAAGTGAAGGAGCACCAAACGGGTCGTGTTTACAAGAGAAAGTGCACAAGACGAGTATAGTTTACAAGGGGAAGGAGCACCAAACGGGTCGTGTTTACAAGAGAAAGTGCACAAGACGAGTATAGTTTACAAGGGAAGGAGCACCAAACGGGTCGTGTTTACAAGAGAAGGTGCACAAGACGAGTATAGTTTACAAGGGAAGGAGCACCAAACGGGTCGTGTTTACAAGAGAAAGTGCACAAGACGAGTATAGTTTACAAGGAAGGCGCACCAAACGGGTCGAGTTTACAAGAGAAAGTGCACAAGACGAGTATAGTTTACAAAGGAAGGAGCACCAAACGGGTCGTGTTTACAAGAGAAAAAGTGCACAAGACGAGTATAGTTTACAAGGGAAGGAGCACCAAACGGGTCGTGTTTGCAAGAGAAGGTGCACAAGACGAGTATAGTTTACAAGGGAAGGAGCACCAAACGGGTCGTGTTTACAAGAGAAAGTGCACAAGACGAGTATAGTTTACAAGTGAAGGAGCACCAAACGGGTCGTGTTTACAAGAGAAGGTGCACAAGACGAGTATAGTTTACAAGGGAAGGCGCACCAAACGGGTCGTGTTTACAAGAGAAGGTGCACAAGACGAGTATAGTTTACAAGGGAAGGCGCACCAAACGGGTCGTGTTTACAAGAGAAAATGCACAAGACGAGTATAGTTTACAAGGGAAGGAGCTCCAAACGGGTCGTGTTTACAAGAGAAAGTGCACAAGGTGCACAAGACGAGTATAGTTTACAAGGGAAGAAGCACCAAACGGGTCGTGTTTACAAGAGAAAGTGCACAAGACGAGTATAGTTTACAAGGGAAGGAGCACCAAACGGGTCGTGTTTACAAGAGAAGGTGCACAAGACGAGTATAGTTTACATGGGAAGGAGCACCAAACGGGTCGTGTTTACAAGAGAAAGTGCACAAGACGAGTATAGTTTACAAGGGAAGGCGCACCAAACGGGTCGTGTTTACAAGAGAAGGTGCACAAGACGAGTATAGTTTACAAGGGAAGGAGCACCAAACGGGTCGTGTTTACAAGAGAAAGTGCACAAGACGAGTATAGTTTACAAGGGAAGGAGCTCCAAACGGGTCGTGTTTACAAGAGAAAACGGTGCACAAGACGAGTATAGTTTACAAGGGAAGGCGCACCAAACGGGTCGTGTTTACAAGAGAAGGTGCACAAGACGAGTATAGTTTACAAGGGAAGGAGCACCAAACGGGTCGTGTTTACAAGAGAAAGTGCACAAGACGAGTATAGTTTACAAGGGAAGGAGCACCAAACGGGTCGTGTTTACAAGAGAAAGTGCACAAGACGAGTATAGTTTACAAGGGAAGGAGCACCAAACGGGTCGTGTTTACAAGAGAAGGTGCACAAGACGAGTATAGTTTACAAGGGGAAGGAGCACCAAACGGGTCGTGTTTACAAGAGAAAGTGCACAAGACGAGTATAGTTTACAAGGGAAGGCGCACCAAACGGGTCGTGTTTACAAGAGAAAGTGCACAAGACGAGTATAGTTTACAAAGGGAAGGAGCACCAAACGGGTCGTGTTTACAAGAGAAAGTGCACAAGACGAGTATAGTTTACAAGGGAAGGAGCACCAAACGGGTCGTGTTTGCAAGAGAAGGTGCACAAGACGAGTATAGTTTACAAGGGAAGGAGCACCAAACGGGTCGTGTTTACAAGAGAAAGTGCACAAGACGAGTATAGTTTACAAGTGAAGGAGCACCAAACGGGTCGTGTTTACAAGAGAAGGTGCACAAGACGAGTATGGTTTAAAAGGAAGGACACCAAACGGGTCGTGTTTACAAGAGAAAGTGCACAAGACCAGTATAGTTTAAAAAGGAAGGCGCACCAAACGGGTCGTGTTTACAAGAGAAAGTACACAAGACGAGTATCACAAAACGGGTCATGTTTACAAGAGAAAGTGCACAAGACGAGTATAGTTTACAAGGGAAGAAGCACCAAACGGGTCGTGTTTACAAGAGAAGGTGCACAAGACGAGTATAGTTTACAAGGGAAGGAGCACCAAACGGGTCGTGTTTACAAGAGAAAGTGCACAAGACGAGTATAGTTTACCAGGGAAGGAGCACCAAACGGGTCGTGTTTACAAGAGAAAGTGCACAAGACGAGTATAGTTTACAAGGGAAGGAGCACCAAACGGGTCGTGTTTACAAGAGAAGGTGCACAAGACGAGTATAGTTTACAAGGGAAGGAGCACCAAACGGGTCGTGTTTACAAGAGAAAGTGCAAGAGGAGTATAGTTTACAAGGGAAGGCGCACCAAACGGGTCGTGTTTACAAGAGAAAGTGCACAAGACGAGTATAGTTTACAAGGGAAGGAGCACCAAACGGGTCGTGTTTACAAGAGAAAGTGCACAAGACGAGTATAGTTTACAAGGGAAGGAGCACCAAACGGGTCGTGTTTGCAAGAGAAGGTGCACAAGACGAGTATAGTTTACAAGGGAAGGAGCACCAAACGGGTCGTGTTTACAAGAGAAAGTGCACAAGACGAGTATAGTTTACAAGTGAAGGAGCACCAAACGGGTCGTGTTTACAAGAGAAGGTGCACAAGACGAGTATGGTTTAAAACGGAAGGAGCACCAAACGGGTCGTGTTTACAAGAGAAAGTGCACAAGACCAGTATAGTTTAAAAAGGAAGGAGCACCAAACGGGTCGTGTTTACAAGAGAAAGTACACAAGACGAGTATCACAAAACGGGTCATGTTTACAAGAGAAAGTGCACAAGACGAGTATAGTTTACAAGGGAAGAAGCACCAAACGGGTCGTGTTTACAAGAGAAGGTGCACAAGACGAGTATAGTTTACAAGGGAAGGAGCACCAAACGGGTCGTGTTTACAAGAGAAAGTGCACAAGACGAGTATAGTTTACAAGGGAAGGAGCACCAAACGGGTCGTGTTTACAAGAGAAGGTGCACAAGACGAGTATAGTTTAAAAAGGAAGGAGCACGAAACGGGTCGTGTTTACAAGAGAAAGTGCACAAGACGAGTATAGTTTAAAAGGGAAGGAGCACCAAACGGGTCGTGTTTACAAGAGAAAGTACACAAGACGAGTATCACAAAACGGGTCATGTTTACAAGAGAAAGTGCACAAGACGAGTATCACAAAACGGGTCGTGTTTACAAGAGAAAGTGCACAGAGTTTATTTTAAATGGGAAACGAGTCTTGTTTAATAGTGAATGATAGTTCAACGCTCTAAAATTCACTATGCCCACATGCCGCCATTGCGTCAAGGAAGATCATAAACAAGGACACCTTTAATAACGAGGGTTGTTTTATTCAAACTGACACACACACATGCTTGCTCGTGCCACCATGCTATACAGTGTCTCAGCGTTACATGTTGTTTCCAGCGCGCATCGCGATCACCACTTGTCGTGCTCCGTTCTTATTTAAGTTAAGTGGTAATATTTAATTCCGTATTTTAATTTTAAACTGTATGAATCATATGTTCACCCCGTGTCATCACAGTGCAAACTGAGGTCATAAATGTGTCCTGAGGAGGTAATTTCCTCTACTTGTGTAACAGTTGACACATTTCGTGTCCTTTAACAGTGTGGGATGTATGCCTCGTGTAGTCTTTTGTCTCTTAGGTTAAAGGGCGGAGGATAGCTTTGTGGTTGAACTACCGCTCGTAAAGCTTAGGCTGCATTCGATTGTTTGTTTCTTGTTTATCGCCCCACCTAGTAGTTTTCCAGCTATATGACGGCTGTCTGCAAATAATCGAGTCTGGGCCAGACAATCCGGTGATTGACATCATGAGCATCTACACAATTTGGATACGATGACATGTGTCAACCAAGTCAGCAAGCCTGACCACCCGATACCGTTCGTCAAGCATGGGTTGATGAAGACTAATTCTAACCCGGATCTCCATGGGTGTCTCCAGAATAGCAGAATACACGAACATTGGTGCTGATGATCTAATGTCATGAGTTAGTTCTTGTCCGTAGTCCTGTATATCTATCATTAACATCAACCGACATCGATGCTGATACCATATCATCACTGGATTGTCTGGTCCAGACTTGAAAATTTACAGACTGATGCCATATAGCTGAAAAATTTGCTGAGTGCGGCGTTAAACATCAAATCAACCACTCAACCAACCTTGAGTACCAGTAATTACACGATTACACTATGTATAGACTAGACACCTCACAAAAGTTTAAAGACAGCAAAGATGTTCGAATCTTTGTGTTGGTTTACTGCTGTGCATATTAGCCATAATGAACATCCAGGCAATAACTGTTTGTTTTTTGTTTAACGCCGGCCTCAGGTTCTCAAAACAAGACCTGTATATGACGGCGGTCTGTAACAGCATCGATCTCCGCATCTGGAATACGATGACATGTGTCGACCATGTCAGCAAGCCTGACCACCCGATCTCGTCAGTCGCCTCTTACTCAAATGAGCGAGTTTAGTGTTACACCTATATGACGGCGGTCTGTAACTAATCGAGTCAGGACCAGACAATCCAGTGATCATGGATCTACGCAATTGGGATACGATGACGTGTGTCAACCCCAAGTCAACGATCCCGTTAGTCGCCTCTTACTCAATCTGTACATAGCATATGTTCTTGTGTAGACAGTGGCGATCATTTCTGAGGTGAGGTGAGGTGAAATTGGGTTTAACGTCGTGATGAGAATATTTCGCTCATATGACGACGTGCATGCGTGTGTATGTGTATATGCGGCTGCTTGTACTAGCCCAGACTTAAGCTGATTTTATAGTGCTAGCCCACTGAGATACCATGTCGCAGTGAAGCATGAATACCCCACTCAGACACATTATACTAACTCCGAGCCGACCAGTCCTTGTTGTACCCATTAATGCCGAGCGCCAGGCAGGGACCAACAAGTACCATATTTTACTATCATTTTGGTATGAAGCGGTCGGGGATCGAACCCGCGACCTTCCGCTCTCCGGGCGGACGCTCTAACCACTACACCACGGAGGCGGTGCGATCATTTCTGAGTTGTTTAGCATTATAGTACGGTCTGGAGCCATTGCTCCTTGAGCACGTAACCTAACCCAGGGACAAAGAACACTGAAGATACAGTGTACATGGCAGTAGTCTTTGCCAACTGGAATGTGGGTTTAATGATCCACGGCACGCCATCTGTGGAGACACAACACGCTCATCATGTCATGCTAACCGTGTGTTTTTTGTCAGTGTTGTACTGTGGTAATTTTAAACGCTTTGAAGTCCGACAGCGAGTCAAATGTATCGCAGCATCAGCATTGTTTATAATCAACTTAAGGTAATATATAGAACGTCTGTGCAAAAGAATACCCAGTCTTGGTTGTCCTCGGAAACAAATTCCTTTTGATATAAAGGAAAAAATAGTTTAAATTAAATGAATGGGTCCTTGAAAATCAGTGACGACATCAGGTGTTCGCGTAAAGAGCCCGGAAGTAGGTCACGGCACTTCGCGAGACGAGACCGTCTGACAAGGAACGTTTCACACCTTTTTGAATGGTCTCATTGTTGTAGCAAATTCCCGATGTAACCATCCCCAAATTAACCAACTATTACGATTGTCAACAGCAGTGACAGCCAAGTTTGGTCGAAAGATCATCAGAGTTGGTCTGTCGATTTCATGTTACTGTTGCACTTACTAGATTTTGTGTAAGAGAGCAATTCATCGGTCTCAAATGAAATCAAACGGACTGTAATTGCGTGTGTCACACTGTCAACATACTCAGACATATTGGCGCTAGTGGCATTTGTTCATTTTTGATACCCAACATACCTACTTACCCGTGAAGATCCGCCACCATATAGCTGAAATATTGCTGAGTGCGGCGTGAAACAACAGAAATGTCCTCATGACAAGGACTGGTCGGCTCGGAGTCAGTATAATGTGTCAGAGTGGGGTATTCATGCTTGACTGCGGCATGGTATCTCAGTGGGCTAGCACTATAAAACCAGCTTCAGTCTGGGCTAGTACAAGCAGCCGCACATACACACGCATGCACGTCGTCATATGAGCGAAATATTCTCAAGCACGACGTTAAATCCAATTTCACCTCACCTTATCCTCTCAGCCCTCTCTATGAAGAAACCCATGAAATAAATATTTGTTCAAGTACATTGTTATAGAAGTCGACCCGTAAAGATCCTGGTTAGAATTGGTCTTAAACTATCCGTGCTTGTCGTGAGACGCGACTAACGGGATCGCAGACACTTGTCATCGTAACCTGATTGCGTAGATCGATGCCCATACTGTCAATCACTGGATTGTCTGGTCGAGTATTGACAGAGCGCCGTGATGTAGCTGGACAATTGCTGAGTGCGGCGTTAAACAACAAACAAACTCTCTAAGAAGAAACCAGTCGTGGTAATTTCAGACGCCTTGCAAATCTACGTGACAGAGCAGTGTTTCATGAAATGCTTAATTCTTGGATCAGGGAGCCGAAGCTACGGTCTGTTTTGACGGTCTTCTGAAGTAGGTCATAACGGTTGCTTACGACTAGTGTTTGGATGGGAGACCTTCATCTTGAAGTCACGATAGTCACTGATGTATGGTCGTGTCATTTCAGCGCTCTTTACGAAGACTCGCCCGTCGTGGTTGATGGCAATTTAATCACCTCGAGGATTCCGCAAGATCTTCCAGACTTCTGCAAGGCAATTCTGCAACAGCTCAGCAGTGAATAAACATCACCCGTTTTCAGTCCAAGATGGCGGAGATGGTCGTAGTCACGAAGTGAAATAATTTTCCAAATAATTATTATTTGAGAAACTTTATTTTCATAATTGGTGATTTTTGTTAATGATTTTCTAAGGAAATAGGTAAGTTACAATTGATATGATCAGATCATGTTGATATTAAATCTCACAATTATATGAGAATCGAATGAAAAGGAAATCATTTGAAATTGGAACTTTGTTGTATCTAAATTGATCGTGTAATATGTCATTTGTGATTTTCTACACAACATAGTTTTTGTGCCTGATGCCAACGAAGTGGAAGTAGGTGTGAAATATGTATTTCTACTTCAACACGTGAATGAATCTACATGAGTTATCAATCGCAAAAAATGTTTAATGTTATTTTTTTGGATATAGTATTGCGGCCTGTAAATAAACGAGCAAGGGCCAATAAACAAGTGGTTAATATTGTGAGTACTGACCAACATACTCGACGATGTTGACTTTTTTTATCACCAAATCCGATTACGTCACCAACCAGTAGATTGGTTGGTTGGTTGGTTGGTTGTTTAACGCCGCATTCAGCAATATTCCAAGGGACGTATTCCATACCATGGCCTGAGTTGACTCTCTTGATGTTCAGAAGATAAAGGACAGTCGTATAACTGCTTAATCACTGATGTGATCGGGGTGGTTGGGTATCTTAGTGGTTAAAGCCTTCGTCACGTCGAAGTCCTGGGTTCGATTCCTCACATGGCTACAATGTAAGAATCCCATTTCTGGTGTCCCCCTCTGTGATATTGCTGGAATATTGCTAAAAGCGACGTAACACTAAACTCACTCACTCACTGATATGATCACGTTGTCAGTAGTTGTATACTTTCCAAATGATTCCAGATGATGTTTCTTACTGTGGTAGAATGTATCTCTTAAATGCCAATGTGATTAAAATGATTTGTCATGTTCCTCCTTGTCTTATTTATCATTTGGACCCATTTTTAACTGTTTTTTACACTTTTGATTTGAATTTTTACATGATTGAAAATAGGACAATGGACCCCACCTAAACAAACATGTCGATATCCTAATTATCAATGACTTCCTCAGTCTGATGTTTTGACTCAATAGAGTTACATAATTGGTTGTTAAAACATACCAAACCAAAGTCTTCTATCCATATAACATTTAGGATATTCTAATGTTCAGAGGTGTAACATTTCTTTTGGCGTTCAGTTTATTTTTTCCTTTCTTGGGCCGAAGTAGGGCAAATAAACAAAAAGTAAAATTCGTCTCCAATATTTGCATTACAGAGTGTACACTCTCTTTCATTTGGGGGAGTTTTCATGCATCGTCCTGTTTCAATTGTTTCAACTTAGAATTTTTAAAAATATTATAAATAGCGCCTCTTGAAGATTTTTCTGTGTTTGATATCCAAGTCTGGAGATTGATTTCTTTCAGTCTGTTTACAACAAGTGCTATAAGCCTATTTATACTAGGACATGCCTTTGTAGCCCAAATATAGCTCATTCAAATTTTGTCAAAAGTGTCCTTAACACAGGCAATCCATTTATAGCCAGATGTGTTACAAGCTGTATCATTATAGAGTAATTTATAAACTAGGAGAGAAAATTTAGAAGCCGTCCCTGAAAAAAGTTTTCTCCAAAAGAGTAGCATTCGTGATTTAATTCCAACTCCAGCGGACATCTCCCCAGTTCCCCATACACCATGAATGAGGGGGTGTTAGTTTCTTAATGACAGTAGTTCCTTTAGAAAATTTAAATGAATATTTTCTACCCAAGAATTATTACCAAATCCCCACAATTAACACGCATAAAGAAGAATAGGGGCAACTGAGCAATCGAATAATTGTAACTGACAATCACAAGACAAATTAAGTAATCTACCTTTGCTTAAAACAAAATGCATAGTTTTGGTGTTTTCAGCAAGATTCTTTTTTATTAAGGTAAATGTATTTATTTTTTTTGCATTGTGATTCCTATGTATTTATAAGAAGGCACGTTCTCTATAATGTGATTTCCAATTTTGAAACAGTATTTATAGTCTTTTTTGGAACCACCAAGAATAAGTTTATTTGTTTTGGATACATTTATATTAAGTCTCCATGTTTTAAAGCATTTATCAAAGCAATCTAACATATGCTGTAAATCATTTGGGTCTGAAGCTAGTAGAACGGTGTCGTCACCATACAACAAGACAAGCAGGCAGGATCCCGTTAATGGTTCTGGTGGGCAGTCGGACTGCCACTCTCCATTGCTGGAGTTCCTCGACATGGGTAATGGGATTGTGTCATGCCCGACCTCCCGGTCATAACGGTCACGAGAAGTGAGCTTAATAAATAAGTATGCGGAGAACCAGACCTTGGTCGCATGACGAGCGAACGTTTTAACCACAACGCTACCTCACCGCCCATTATCATCTTAGCAACCGTGTACCGATGGAATGGTTAAAATAATACCCAGTGGTAAATTCCGTACCTACAATATGAACAGTGAGTGAGTTTAGTTTTACGCCGCACTCCGCAATATCCCAGCTATATGGCGGCGGTCTGTAAATAATCGAGTCTGGACCAGACAATCCAGTGATCAACAGCATGAGCATCGATCTGCGCAATTGGGAACCGATGACACGTGTCAACCAAGTCAGCGAGCCTGACCACCCGATCCCGTTAGTCGCCTCTTACGACAAGCATAGTCGCCTTTTATGGCAAGCACATGGGTTGCTGAAGACCTATTCTATCCCGGATCTTCACGGGACCAATATGAACAGTGGTGATGTGTGTGTGGTCGTGTGCATAGAGCCAAGGTCACAAATCAGTTGAAGTTAAGCAACGCTGGTCACGGAGAATCCTTGGATGGGTGACCGTGTTTGGCAGTTTGACTCCTGAGACTTCAATCTTGCCCCACAACGAAGCACACGTGACAAATGTAGTCTCACCTTAGGCAAGTGAGTTTATTCATGAATGGCCTCCGTTCACTCAGCAGTGAATGGGTACCCGGTGGGATGTCATGACTTTTACACAACGAAGCACACGTGACAAATGTAGTCTCACCTTAGGCAAGTGAGTTTATTCATGAATGACCTCCGTTCACTCAGCAGTGAATGGGTACCCGGTGTGATAAGTCATATGACTTTTAACCTTCAAGTGCCTCACAGACAGCTTGGGTTATCTGGGGTAATAATGCTTTAGCGCTTTGAGCATGACAAGTGCGTGGGAACAGGCGAACAATTATTTGAACAGAAATGGTTCATATACCTCGACTCGATGTAGAGACATGCCACATCATGGAGTACTCGCAATGCACTAAATGAAACATTTATGTGTCCTTTATGGGTCCAAGAAGTAGATGTCAACCCTGGCAAGGGCGGTTCTTGAACCCCATGAACAGCCGAATTATCTCCGATTAAATATTAAATTTAGACTTTAGGTATATATTTTATGTCAGCTATCAAAGGAAAGTGTTACACTATAATTTTAAGGCAAATATTCTTAAGACATTAACTTAAATATAACTGCATTGTACCTGAAATGAACCTGCACCGGTGGTCGTCGTTGAACAGTTACCAGCTGACTCGGGACTTTTAAAATGATTCTGCACTGGCAAATAGCGTTGCCCTCGCAAAATTCTTAAAAATGAAACCGGAGTTGTCCCTGTTCTACCTAACATATGACCGCTTCTCTGGTGTTGTAGTAAAAGCGTCCGCCCTCTGAGCGGAAGGTCGCGAGTTCCATATGGTAAAATATGGTACTTGTTGGTCCGTGCCGGGCGCTAGGCATTAATGGGTACACCAAGGACTGGTAGGCTCTGTAATGTGTCTGAGTTGGGTATTCATGCTTACCAGGGGCATGGTATCTCTAAAATGGCACTATAAAACCAGCTTCAGTATGGGCTAGTACAAGCAGCCACACATACACACGCATGCACGCGGTCATATGAGCGAAATATTCATAAGTACGACGATAAATCCCATTTCACCTCACCTCTATCTAACATGATACTTCGTGCATGACATAATGCCCTGATACAACTTTTACACGGTCAGAAAGGGATTCCAGTGCTAACACCCATATTTTAACAGCGTCTGCCAGTAGAGAGGAAGGTCGGAGGTTCAGTGAGACCGAAGAGTGAGTGAGTTTAATTTTACGATGCAATAATCCAGCAATATCACGACAGGGAACACCAGAAATGGGCTTCACACATTGTACCCATGTGGGGAATCGAACCCGGATCTTCGGCGTGTCGAGCGAACGCTTTAACCACTAGGCTACCCTACCCCCCAGAGATCAAAGGCCCAAAGATGGTTTTGTTTTCAAGGTTGACCCTCGAGCGAGCCTGCCTGGGTTCAGAAAGTGTGTCTTAGTAGGGTAATTATGTTAACATACGACGTGGTATTTCAGTGGGCAAGTAGACTGACGCCGAGTCTCAGTAGGTATATAATTTTGATGGAAACAAAATCCCCTATTTAAATGGACTTAAAAAGCCATAGTGAGATGGGAGATTCAGAAACAGAAGAAAATTGTTTCATTTGGGGAGTTTTCATTATAGATTGGGCTATTCGGGAGGGAAAATATGAGACAACCTGACAGGCTAGCTGTGCCTTGTACAAGCATACACACAATTGTATACGTACAGTATAAGCTTCGACTCCATGTTGCAACACCGTCTACCACATCCATACTTTAACTGACTGACTGGCTGATTGAATTTGGTTTTACGCCGCTTTAAGCAATATTCCAGCAACATCACGGCGGGGGACACCATAAATGTGCTTCACAAATTGTACCCATGTGGAGATTCGAACCCGGGTCTTCGGCGTGACGAGCCAACGCTTTAACCACTAGGCTAACACACACACACACACACACACACACACACACACACACACACACACACACACACACACACACACACACACACACACACACACACACACACACACACACACACCACACACACACCCCACACACACACACACCAGCCCCCATCCACACACACTTAAGCAAGTGAGTGAGTGAGTTTAGGTTTACTTCGCAGTCAGCAATATTCCATCAATATGGCGGCGGTCTGTAAATAATTGAGTCTGGACCATACAATTTAGTGATCAACAACATGAGCATCGATCTGCACAATTGGGAAACATGACATCTGTCAACCAAGTCAGCGAGCCTAACCACCCGATCCCGTTAGTCGCCTCTTACGACTAGCATGGGTTACTGAAGATCAATATTCTAACCCGGACCTTCACGGGTATACTTTAACAAGGACTGTGGACAGTCGTAGAATACTGGAATAAGGCCTTGTACGCGTAAATAATGCGGAGCAACGCAAGGTCAGCGGTGCGTGCTTTGAATATTAAGCATCACCTACCAGAATAGTGTCTCCGTCATCACGACGTAATCACGATGACAACACTGCGAGTGTATGTTATGCAAGGTCACTGTTGCTCTCCGTCGTGATATTCCTGGAATATTGCTGATAGTAGCGTAAAACTAAACTAAACACACTAAACACTGGATGAGCTTTGTTTTTTGGGATGTCTTTCAAGGATTTTGTGGCTGTTGGTTGGTTTCTTGTTTCACGCCGCACTCAGCAATATTCCAGCTATATGACGGCGGTCTGGAAATAATCGAGTCTGGACCAGATAATCCAGTGATCAACAACATGAGCATCGATCTGCGCAATTGGGATGCGATGACATGTGTCTTACTGACTGACTGAGTTTAGTTTTACGCCACACCCAGCAATAATCCAGCAAAATCACGGCGGGGGACACCAGAAATGGGCAGATGACATGTGTCAACCAAGTCAGCGAGCCTGACCCACCCGGTCCCGTTAGTGGCCTCTTACGCCAAGCATGGGTTACTGAAGATCAATTCTTACCCGGATCTTCAAGGGTCTTGTTGCTGTCAAGTGTAATAGGTATACACCCTTTGTTTGCTGTTTAAC